CCATCATTGGTGTCAGTGGGGGGAGGAATAGTGCCCCATCATTGGTGTCAGTGGGGGAGGAATAGTGCCCCATCATTGGTGTCAGTGGGGGGAGGAATAGTGCCCCATCATTGGTGTGAGTGGGAGAAATAGTGTCCCATCATTGGTGTCAGAGTGGGAGAAATAGTGTCCCATCATTGGTGTCAGTGGGAGGAATAGTGTCCCATCATTGAAATGAAATAGAAATCTTGTGAGCCAGCAATTAATTATAAGATAGGTTCGTCAGCACCAAACACATACTCATCCAATGTTCATAAAAATTCAACAAATATCACAATGGTGCTGCTCTCCTAATTGTTATTAATTAAATATCATAAAAATTGTTTTAAATTAAATCCATATAATAGTGTAAACACAATATACCGTATTTGCCGGCGTATAAGACGACTGGGCGTATAAGACGACCCCCCTACTTTTCCTGCTAAAATGTAGTGTTTGGGCTATACTCGCCGTATAAGACTACCCCTCTTCCAATGCACACCAGTGGGAGGAATAGTGCCCCATCATTGATGTCAGTGGGAGGAATAGTGCCCCATCATTGGTATTAGTGGCAGGAATAGTGCCCCATCATTGGCATTAGTGGCAGGAATAGTGCCCTATCATTAGTATCAGTGGAGGAATAGTGCTCCATCATTGGTGTCAGTGGGAGGAATAGTGCCCCATCATTGGTATCAGTGGCAGGAATAGTGCCCCATCATTGGTATCAGTGGGAGGAATAGTGCCCCATCATTGGTATCAGTGGCAGGAATAGTGCCCCAACATTGGTATCAGTGGGAGGAATAGTGCCCCATCATTGGTATCAGTGGGGGGAATAGGTGCCCCATCATTGGTATCAGTGGCAGGAATGGTGCCCCATCATTGGTATCAGTGGCAGGAATAGTGCCCCATCATTGGTGTCAGTGGGAGGAATAGTGCCCCATCATTGATGTCAGTGGGGAGGAATGGTGTCCCATCATTGGTGTCAGTGAGGGGTGGAATAGTGCCCCATCATTGGTGTCAGTGGGGGGTGGAATAGTGCCCCATCGTTGGTGTCAGTGGGGGGGGGAATAGTGCCCCATCGTTGGTATCAGTAAGAGGAATAGTGCCCCATCGTTGGTGTCAGTGGGAGGAATAGTGCCCCATCGTTGGTATCAGTGGGAGGAATAGTGCCCCATCATTGGTATCAGTGACACCAATGATGGGGCACTATTCCTCCCACTGAGACTTGCTGACCCTGTTCTCGTATGGTGCTGCTGCAGCCAGCATATGTGGTTGCAGCAGCACCTCTACACAGAACACTTACCTGCTGCTCCGGCACTCAATTTTCGATTGGCCGCCTGTGTGCCTTTCCTGAGCTACAGTTCTGGCGGCCAATCACCGGTGAGGAGGCGGAGCCGAGCAGCCGCACGAACATCCAGTGGCCGAACTGAAGGAGACGCCGCGCTTCCTGGACCGGATCGTCGTGGGACTGGATCCAGGTAAGAGACATCAGCCCCTGCAAACCCCTGTACTTAATGCCGCAGCCCCCCCCTAACATGTGTACCGGCGTATAAGACGACCCCCGACTTTTGAGAAGATTTTCAAGGGTCAAAAAGTCGTCTTATACGCCGGCAAATACGGTATATATATAAAAAATTAAGTGCACCCATAAAGTGATAATACACTGAAAATATCAGTCAATATTCAATATGCACAAAAAATATAAACATGATTGATGACAAATGAGTGATAAATAAATCAGTCTCTGGTGATACTCGTAGAAAATCCCAGGTGATGTGAACTCCTATTCCCAGTGACTTGAATAATGATTGCGAGAGGTGCACTTGTATCATCTGCTGGCAATTGTTTTTAACAAAGCGTTAATATTGTTTTTACATGTGAGTGCAATGGGCGCATATTAAAGGTAGTTATTTTTAAAAGGATAAGACACTATGTCTTTATTTCTTCTCATACTGAGGGATATACCAAGGAGGAGTGCTCCAGTGTATTAAGAGAGTGAGAGATCTTTGTGGGGATAGTGGCAGGAGAGGAGAGCCACGATTGAAGGAGTAACCACCATTACTGCTACGCTTTGAAGGAGTAACCAACATTACTGCTACGCTGTTAAGGAGTAACCACCATTACTGCTACGGTGCAACTCAAGGATATAGTCCCATTTGGGGAACACAAGCGTTTTTAGCCTATTCATAGGCTTTGTATGAGGTGAGCGCATAATAAGATCATTATTCAAGTCACTGGGAATTGGACTGAGCACTTGTATCATCTGCTGGCAATTGTTTTTAACAAAGCACTTAATATTGTCTTTACATGTGAGTGTAATGGGCGCATATTAAAGGTAGTTATTTTTAAAAGAATAAGACACTATGTCTTTATTTCTTCTCACACTGAGGGATATACCAAGGAGGAGTGCTCCAGTGTATTAAGAGAGTGAGAGATCTTTGTGGGGATAGTGGCAGGAGAGGAGAGCCACAATTGAAGGAGTAACCACCATTACTGCTACAGTGCAATTCAAGGATATAGTCCCATTTGGGGAACACAAGCGTTTTTTAGCCTATTTATAGGCTTTATATGAGGTGAGCGCATAATAAGATCATTATTCAAGTCACTGGGAATTGGAGTTTACATCACCTGGGATTTTTTACGAGTATCACCAGAGACTGATTTATTTATCACTCATTTATCATCAATCATGTTTATATTTTTTGTGCACATTGAATATTGACTGAAATTTTCAGTGTATTATCACTTTATGGGTGCACTTCATTTTTTATATATATGTTGTGTTTACACTATTATATGGATTTAATTTAAAACATTTTTTATGATATTTAATAACAATTAGGAGCGCGGCACCATTGTGATAAGTGTCCCATCATTGGTGTCAGTTGATAGAAATAGTGTCCCATCATTGGTGTCAGTGGGGAGAAATAGTGTCCCATCATTGGTGTCAGTGGGGGGAGGAATAGTGCCCCATCATTGGTGTCAGTGGGGGGAGGAATAGTGCCCCATCATTGGTGTCAGTGGGGGGAGGAATAGTGCCCCATCATTGGTGTCAGTGGGAGAAATAGTGCCCCGTCATTGGTGTCAGTAGGGGGGTAGTGCCCCGTCATTGTTGTCAGTGGGGGGGATAGTACCCCATCATTGGTGTCGGGGGAGGAAGGAATAGTGTTCCATCGTTGGTGTCAGTCGGGGGAGGAATAGTGCCCCATCGTTGGTGTCAGTGGGGGGAGGAATAGTGCCCCATTGTTGGTGTCAGTGGGAGGAATAATGCCCCATCATTCGTATCAGTGACATCAATGATGGGACACTATTCCTCCTACTGACACCAATGACACTTAACTTGCTGACCCCTGCTCCAGCCTAGGTGCTGGTGCAGCCAGTTCGGCACACTTACCGGGTGGTCAGCTGTCCTCCTTCATTCACTCCGACCGCTCCCTCACTCGATGTTCGTGGGGCCGCTCAGCTGAGCTTTCCTGAGCTACAGCTCTGGCGCCCAATCACCAGTGAGGAGGTGGAGCCGAGCGGCAGCGCGAACATCGAGTGAGGGAGCGGCCAGAGTGAATGAAGGAGCAGCAGCGCTTCCTGGACTGGATCGTCGTGGGACTGGGACACGGAGCCAGGTAAGACACAGCAGCCCCCTGCCTGCTCCTGTACTTAGTGTTCCTTCTGTTGGAAGGGGGGGGCGGCACTGTGCCGCCCCCCTAAAAAGTGCCTCCCTAGGCAAACGCCTTGTTTGCCTCGTGGCAATTATGCCCCTGCTCCCACATCCATCTCACCCCAGGATCTCAACACTGCATGTGCATGCTTTCCCCCTTCACCAGTTTACCACCATGCTTCCCCCTACTGTGTCCTGCTCCCCAAATGCATGTGTGCACACTTCTCTCCACTCCCACCCCATGCCTGCACAGAGCAGGCGTCCTCCATGTTGCGTCCCCCAACATGGCACTTGTATGTCCTCACCCACCCCTCCCCTCACCACTGTGCCATTATCTTTCTTCTCACCAGTGCCCCTGTGCATACTTCTCCCCACTTTCACTAACATAATTACACCACCGCTTCCATCAACTTGCAATCTCTCACCCCATACCTGCAAAAAGGACCCCCTTCCTTCTCAACACTGCACTTGCAATCCCTTACTTCCCCCTTCTTACTTACTTGACTGGACCCCTTTCAGCACTGTGCCTGTACCCCCCTCTCACAAACAAAATGCACACCTACCACTGCTGTCATTCCATGCCTTTATGCATCACACCTTTAGGAAAGGCTCCCTTCCCTGCCTCACCACTGAGCTTGCAAAGATATTGGTTTCAGATATCTTTAAACATCCATTTTTTGACAAGTGCCATTGGACAAACTTATCTGAAATGAAAAGGGCATTTTCCTCCTCATATTGTGCTGAGCGGGAGTATTCTCTAACCCAATCCTGACAACCATTAGTTCAGCGCCATATTGGCTTTTTCCTTTGGAACAGATATAGGTTTTGTGTTTGTATTAGTGTTTGTAGACAGTTTTGGGGCTCTGGAGTCATTCTGTACCACAACCTTTTCCTATGTTAAAACATGTCAGGTTTGCATGTCAATTCTGTCTATAAATCAAGTTCACCTCCATATTTGTTGATAGCAAATATTTATACTGTATTTATATTTTATGTAAAAGTGTCATTGTGCACATCCATTGGCAATAACAACTGTATATACAGTGTATTTATCTGTCTTCTTTTTAATATATGAGGTAATTGCTTTTTTAGATATAAATATAGATTAACATTAAATTTATATTTTTTTAATTTAATCAGTGAGTGCAAGCTTTGTGTGCATTAAGTTCAGTATTTTTTTTCCTTATTTTAGGCAATGAGTGCAATGTGCAATAATTACAGTATGTTTTGTAAATCCTGGAAAACTATTAAAGAAACATTAAAGGCTTGAAAATTTGTCATTATCTTGAAAATGTAATTCAAAAAAGAAAAATGTATGACATCTTACCTGTTTGGTACCTTAATTCTCATGTATCTGTCAAGAGCTATGGCCAATAGAGATAAAATAGATGCATTTGTCATTATGATGATCACACAACAAATAAACAGGCAGGCATGAAAGTACATTTGTATCTCCAAGGTCAGGATTATGGCCAGAGGTATAGCTAAAGCTCCAACTGCCAAGTCAGCTACTGCCAGAGAGACAATGAAGTAAAAAGTTGTATCCTGCAGAGCTGGATTCATTTTCACTGCCCAGATCACTAAAACGTTCCCCATGATAGCAAATATTCCAATGACTGCTTCAGCTGCCATGTATGCAATGATGAGGCTATCTGTCACTGATGTTTGGTTAGTCATAATTAGGTGGCTCTATTCTAGCTACCTCTTTGAAGAATATAAATTTGGAGTAAGGTCGGGGTATACTTATACTGTGCTTGTTCTTCAATAACTCCCACTTTCTATTTAAAGATCTGCCCAACCAAGGAAACCAATACTTCCTTTATACTATGTGCACGGCTTTAAAACAGTTTCATTTTTTTTTTTACTTCTTTTGACAGGTACTAAGAAAAGGATGAGTACCAAAACTTTCCATTGGAGAGATAGGCAACCTAAAGAACACAAGGATGCATGCAGGCATGGACTGGACATTCGGTGGACCAGAGCATCCTCTGGTGGGCCCCTGCTTCTTAAAAATACAGGGTCCCTGCCATAAGCTGTGATTGACAACTCACTAAACTGTCAATTACAAAGCATGGCATGTCCCTATATGACATTGGCCCTTCCACCTTCATGGCTTTAAATAGAGACCAACCTGATGCTACTGGTGTTCAGATGCAAGCTTTCCTCCTAATACCAGTGTAGGCCAACCTGGGGATTTTAGCCTAGTTAGATGAATAACCGCATCCACCTACCCTCTTCCTCCTGCGAGTGGAACTGCTAGTTGCAGCAAGTATGACCATAAAGCCCTTATGCTTCATGGTGCAGAAATTGGGATGATCTGAGGTCCAAAGGTGCAGGAATTGGGGCTGATTAGAGGTCTAAAAATGCAGTAATTTCAGTGTGTCAGAGGTCTAAGGGTGCAGAAATTGTGGTGGCCTTTAGGTCTACACATTGCTCACTGACATGCTGGCTGTCTATGGCATGTCAAATATATATTTTAAAAACATAATAAAACAATTGTTTATTATATCAGTCTGTAATGGGTTGTTCTCTTTCCTGCCTTTCCATCTGTTTTTTACCTTTGTGTTTTTTCTGCTTTCTTCTTCTTCCAACTGTCAGGGAATGTCTGAACAATTAATTTAGTCAGCTAAATCAAATGAACCACAGTGCCTCCTATACAAAAATAATGTATAAAAAGAATTTAATGGACTTAATTATTATGAGTTATTTTGCCAAGCAGAAATCTTAAAAAAAACATCGATGTAAGTATAGACTGAGGATATCAAAAATGAATGTATATTTATTTACAATAAATCAAACACTCTAAATAATAGTCAGATTGGGATATGCATAGACACTAAGATATTTGCCTAACAGTTCTAATATTGCCTGTAACAGCAGAGAATATACAGTGAATTAAATGTAATAATTAATTTCCCCTCATAGACGACATAACCAATGATAACTTCATAACAGATAATAATATGCGTTTAACAGAATTCGACTGTTATTCTCCTGCAAAAAGAATAAGAGTCAAAATATGTAAGAGTGGACACCAATATGACCCAATTAAAGAACAATAATACAAAAATAAATAAATACAAAAATGACCTGACTCTAATGTTTATGCTATCATGGGAGAAAGACTGTTATAGCAAGGATCATTGTAATTGGCCTATTAATTTAAGCAAACACAAAATCAGCAAGAAAATAATATATATACATTTACCCTCCAAGTATACCAGGTAGGCTTTTAGGTGACTGATGACCAGACTCAAAGATGGCTGCCGATTAATGGGAGGAGTTTGTCTCCCCTAAAATGGCATCAAGCTTATGCTGGACCTGTGTGTCCTAGTTTCAGTGAAGTGTCAGATGATAGCATGTGTTCTGAAATTGAAATCTCCCAGATGATGCGATCTAAAATGATGATGAATGTGTGTCCGTTTTTCTCCTGCCTACCTGACTTGCTATCTTATTGAGTGGCAGAAAATACACTCCTAAAACTATGATCACTATGATGAAACCTGGACCAGAAGATGTAACCTTCTCTATGGTTGGTGGGTCAGGTTAATGTTCAATTATGTATTTACCTAGGCAATATCTCCCTGGGCCAAGGGTAGCACTCTAGGACCAGAAATTTGCATTATTTAACCTACTAGCTGATTATGGCAACACTGTAACCCACACATATATAAAATAAATGTTTCCGAACAAACATTACTAAAGTAAGCCTAATGTGATAGTTTATCCTAATCTCATCTTTTTGTATAGTAATATATAAACAGTGCATCCAGAAAATATTCACAGCACTTAACTTTTGCCACATGTTGTTACAGCCTTATTCCAAAATGGATTAAATTAATTTTTTTCTTCAACATTCTACAAACAATACCCCATAATGACAATGCGAAAGAAGTTCCTTTTTAAATCTTTGCAATTTATTAAAAATAAAAAACGAAAAAAAAACACATGTACATAAGTATTCACATCCTTTGCTCAATACTTTGTTGAAGCACCTTTAGCACCAATTACAGCCTCAAGTCATTTTGGGTATGATTCTACAAGCTTGGCACACCTATTTTTTCTTTGCAGTACCACTCAAGCTCCATCAGGTTGGATGGGGAGTGTCGGTGCACTTTTCAGATCTCTCCAGAGATGTTCAATCGGGTTCAAGTCTGGGCTCTGGCTGGGCCACTCCAGAACATTCACAGAGTTGGCCCATAGCCACTCCTTTGTTATGTGGGCTGTGTACTTAGGGTCGTGTCCTGTTGAAAGATGAACAGTCGCCCCAGTCTAAGGTCCAGAGTTCTCTGGAACAGGCTTTCATCAAGGATGTCTCTGTACATTGCTGCATTCATCTCTCCTTTGATCCTGACTAGTCTCCCAGTTCCTGCCGCTGAAAAACATCCCCACAGCATGATGCTGCCACCACCATGCTTCACTGTAAAGATGGTATTGGCCAGGTGGTGAGTGTTGCCTGGTTTCCTCCAGACATGACGCTTGGAATTCAGGCCAAATAGTTTCAATCTTTGTTTCATCTGACCAGAGAGTTTTCTTTTTCATGGCCTGAGAGTCCCTCAGGTGCCTTTTGGCAAACTCCAGGACATTGCCATTTGCCTTTTACTGAGGAGTGGCTTCCGTCTGGCCACTCTACCATACAGCCCTGATTGGTGGAGTGCTGCAGAGATAGTTGTTCTTCTGGAAGGTTCTCCTCTCTCCACAAAGGAACGCTGAAGCCCTTTCAGAGTGACCAACGGGCGCTTGGTTACCTCCCTGGCTAAGACCCTTCTCCCTTGATCGCGCATTGTGGCCGGGCGGCCCACTCTAGGAAGATTCCTGGTGGTTCCAAACTTCTTCCATTTATGGATGATGGAGGCCACTGTGCTCATTTGGACCTTCAATGCTGCAGACATTTTTCTGTACCCTTCCCCAGATCTGTGCCTTGATACAATCCTTTCTCAGAGGTCTATGGACAATTCCTTGGACTTCATGGCTTGGTTTGTGCTCTGACATGCACTGTTAACTGTGGGACCTTATATAGACAGGTGTATGCCTTTCCTAATCATGTCCTACTGAATTTCCCACAGGTGAACTCTAATCAAGTTGTGGAAACATCTCAAGGATGATCAGTGGGAACAGGATGCACCAGAGCTCAACTTTGAGTGTCATGCCAAAGGCTGTGAATGTCAAGCCTATGATAGTGAGCTCTATTGGTCCACAGCTTGGGGTTCCGAGGGCGTGGAGTCTAAGCCCCAACCTGCTTGTTCACCAGGGCCCCTGATGGTGGGGGTGGACCAGGTCACAGCCCCCAGGTACACCCAGCTGAGGTGGAGGAGACCGCTAGCGGGAGCAGGGTACAACGGGAGAAGACACAAGGAATCCAATGGGCAAGCCGAGATCAGGACAGGCAGAAAACAAGCAGGGTCAGGAACAAAGCCGGGGTCGGTACACAGACAACACAGAATTCACAGAGGAAACACACGGGAGCTCCAACAACACGAAGTTGCTCAGGCAAGGTGGGACAGGCTGAGTATGTCTTAAATAGACAAGCCAGCTAGGAGGCGGCCCAGGAAGTGATGAAAGGGAAGGACATAAAACCCAGGGAATAGCAGACGACGCCCACAAGTTAGCACAGACAAACACACATGTGAATGAATCAAGAGCACCAAGGAGGTAAGAGTATACACACAAGAGGTTGCAAGCTAACTTGTGACAGTGAATACTTATGTACAAAGTATTGAGACACCCCTCCAAATCATTGCATTCAGGTGTTTCAATCACCTCCATGGCCACAGATGTATTAAATCAAGCATCTAGGCATGCAGACTGCTTCTTTAAACATTTTTGAAATAATGGGTTGCTCTCAGGAGCTCCGTAAATTCAAGCCTGGTACCGTGATAGGTTGCCACCTGTGCAAGAAGTCCATCCATGAAATTTCCTTGCTACTAAATATTCCACGGTCAACTGTTAGTGATATTATAACAAAGTGAAAGCAACTGGGAACAGCAACACACCCAAGAAATGGTAGGCCACGTAAAATGACAAATCGGGGTCAGCGCATGTTCAGGCGCACAGTGCACAGCAGTCGCTGACTGTCTGCAGAGTCAATAGTTAAAGGTCTCCACACTTCATGTGGCCTTCAGATTAGCACAATAGTGTGTACAGAGCTTGATGGAATGGGTTTCCATGGCTGAGCATCTGCATCCAAGCCTTACATCACCAAGTGCAATGCAAAGCGTCGGATGCAGTGGTGTAAAGCACGCCGCCACTGGACTCTAGAGCAGTAGAGACGTGTTTTCTGGAGTGACGAATCACGCTTCTCTCTCTGGCAATCCGATGGACATGTGTGGGTTTGGCAGTTACCAGAAGAACGGTACTTGCCTGACTGCATTGCACCAAGTGTAAAATTTGGCGGAGGGGGGATTATGATGTGGGGTTGTTTTTCAGGGGCTGGGCTTGGCCCCTTAGTTCCAGTAAAGGGAACTCATAAGGCATCAGCATACCAAGACATTTTGGACAATTTCATGTTCCCAACTTTGTGGGAACAGTTGCGGAAGGCCCCTTCCTGTTCCAAGAGGACTGTGCACCAGTGCACAAAGCAAGGTCCATAAACACATAGATGAGCTAGTTTGGGGTGGAAGAACTTGACTGGC